CAAGTTGTTTCAGGAGAAAGCGCAGCACAGTACCGACAAAATTATTTCGGGCAAAGATGCATTTGAGCTATACGACACATTTGGTTTCCCAATAGATCTAACTCGCCTCATGGCCCGTGAAATGGACATGGAGGTAGATGAGAGTGGATTTGAAAGTGAGCTAGAAATACAGAAGAATAGATCACGAGAAGCTACCAAATTAGAAACCGAGGATTGGGTAGAAGTTTATGCATCACCTACGCATTCGCAATTTGTAGGCTATACAGATTATGCGGCTAAAGTAAAAATACTCCGCTACCGACAGGTAAAAACAAAAAAAGAAACCCTCTATCAAATAGTACTAGACCAAACACCTTTTTACGCTGAGAGCGGCGGACAGGTAGGCGATACAGGCAGACTGACCAATCGGAAAGGGGAACAGATCATTATTTCCAATACGTTAAAGGAAAATGAAACGATTGTTCATTTTACCAATAAACTATTGGAAGATTTAACTGGTGAATTTCAAGCAGAAATACATATTGAAAATAGAAAAAAAACTGCTAAAAATCATACGGCAACACATTTATTGCAGTCGGCATTAAGACAGGTACTAGGGGATCACGTGCAGCAGAAAGGCTCTTTGGTTACGCCTAGCTATTTGCGTTTCGACTTCTCCCATTTTGCTAAAATGACAGATGACGAAATCAAACAGGTAGAAGATATTGTCAATCAAAAAATAGATGCAGAAATACAAGGAATCATCGATCGTGATATTCCTATCAAAGAGGCTATGGATAGAGGTGTCACGGCCCTATTCGGAGAGAAATATGGCGAGACGGTGCGCGTAGTTAGCTTTGATAAAAACTACTCTATGGAGCTCTGTGGTGGAACTCACGTGAAGAATACCAGTGAGATAGGATACTTCAAACTGCTTTCAGAGTCCTCTATAGCCGCGGGAATTAGACGTATAGAAGCTACTACTTCTACCAATGTGCTGGATTATTATAAGCAGAAAGAACAAATGCTAGATGAAATCAGTGCCATGCTAAAACATCCTCAGAAATTAACCCAGACCGTTCAGAATCTCAGCACTGAAAATGGAGTGATCAAAAAAAGTCTGACCAGCTATGAACAGGTCATTGCGAATTTAGAATTTGAGAAGTTCACTCAATATCAAAAAGAGCTGAGCTATATACTATCCTATGATCACTTATCTTCTGACGTAGTAAAACTATTAGCTTCCAAACTGAGAACAGAATATCCAGATAGAGCCTTTATTCTAACTACGAAAGAAGACGGAAAGCTCAAGCTAACTGTCATCTGCGGAGATATCTATCTGAAGAACGGTAAGCCAGATGCTAAGACCATTGTAAAAGAAATAGCTCCTATCATCAAAGGTGGTGGAGGTGGTCAAGCTGCTATAGCCAATGCCGTAGGGGATATTAGTACGGATTTAGGCTTATTAGCTAATCAATAGACTATCTTTTTGCACTCTAGAGTTGTCTCTTGAATTACAAAAAGCAAGCATTTTATTTAATTTTGGATTAAACCCTAATTACGCTTTAGAAAGCCCTTACGCAAGGGCTGATAAAACGTTTATGAGGGTAATCCCGCGATAGATTTTGTTTCAGTCAAATTTTATTTGACTGAATTACAAAATATTATGCGATTAATCATTTCTAATGATTAATTTGGATTAAATTTGCAGTCCTAAAATCAGTATACAAATAATCATATGAATAGTTTTTCTCATTTATCCGCAGACGAATTTTCCAAACTAGTAAAAGCGCCATTATATATAGGACTACTCATCGCAGAAGCCGATGGTGAAGTAGATCACAAGGAAGTAGAATGGATAGAAAAGGTGACTTTTTTTAGAATAAAAACTGCTCATCATACCATGAGAACCTACTATCGTCAAGCGAATGAATTTATCAAAGAAAATTTAAATTTAGAGCGCAGCAACTTACCTACCAATCAGGAAGAAAAAATGATCTATCTATCCGATAAATTAGCGGATTTAAAGCCTATTCTAGCCAAGCTAGACGAGGGTTTTAGACATAGACTCCTAGATAGTTATCACTCAATGGCACTTAGTGTAGCTGAAATCAGCGGTGGCTTGCTCAACTTTTTCTCTACCAATCCTGGAGAAGAGAAATGGTTAGCTCTAGAAATGCTCAATGACTAA